AACAACGGTGCATAGATGGATGAATATGGCAAGATGCCGATGAGTAGAAACGAGTTTTCTATGAGACATTTCTAGTTAGCAATGGATTAATAGATGACCCTATTTGGGTTAGGCACTAACGAAGGGCATGACAACAAATATTAAGTTAAAATGCTTGTAGAAAGTAACGAGCACAAGGATTGCGTTGTAGGACATGCGGACTACCCTCAATAATTTGGACGGAACTAGTATAACTCCTTTTCTATCGGGTATGCTTCGAGAGGATAGTATATTGTGCTTGAGCACGCGGGCCAGAAAATGTAAATTGCGAATAGACGAGCGTCTTGACACCAAGTGCAGAGCAAGGATGCATTCAAGTGTTTACACGCTAATAAGCTTTTGCGGGTAAATATGCAACAGATGACGTCAGACTCATGATAGAAGTTAGTAAGGTAGTTGAACGGAGTGAAACTACTGCCACACATGTACGTAAAAGTCCTGTTGAGAAACTTAGATAATTGTCTTGTGTCACCTAGACTTGACACATTCGACACATATATCCTTACTCTCTCTTTCAAATTGTTCTTCTAGGAGAATAATAAAGAAAGTCGTAAACCTTAGAAACATTTGTTAAACATGGTCATGGACGGACCCAATGGGGATCCTGGGGGGCAGGTGCCCCCAACTTTTGAGATTCATTTTTTTTTTTTTTTTTTTTTTTTAAATCACGTTTGTTTTCAATTTTAATTTTTATTTTAANTTTTAAAAATTCTCTGACGATCGTACGCTAATTGAATCTACAAATTATTTGTATCATTTCGAAACTTATTTCAAGAATTATATTATGGACATATCGAATAGTTCAAACATATATCGAAAACAGTTAAAAAAACGTTAAACGTAAACATTTAAAAAGACGTCTAACTCGCATTTTTTAAAACAAAAAATCAATTATTTCATTAAAATTTATTATTTTTGCGATACAAATTTCTCAATATAATTTTCATCATTTTATTAGAAAATTTTCAAAAAATTTCGAAATTTTATATCCAAAAAAGTCATATCTCATGTAAATTTTTAAATGTAAAATTATATAGAGTATGATTTTTTTGGACGTAAATTTTCGATTGTAAAAATTCTACCAACTTCTTTGCAAATTCGATTGTGCCCCCCCAACGTTAAAGTTCTGCGTCCGCCCTTGAACATGGTGACCATACCTGCTATCAAGTAATTTGAACAAGTTGACACAACATACACCCGCCAAAAAATGCAGGTGGTGTTGGGCTCATAACAATCCAATTCGAATTATGCCTCTTAAAGTTTGTTGAACCCAATGACCATGCACGTTAAGTATTTTGGACACATCGACACCTGATAAACAATGTAGATGATGTTGAGACCATAGACAACTCTAAAAGTATGTGTAGAATTGCCCCACTAGCCTCATGACAAGTTGATACATTTTATTTTTGCTCTTTTGTTGCTAGATGATCAAAAAATAAATATAAAAAATAGTAGCTCAAGGATTTAGGAGGACCAAAATACAGGTCGAGTCACCCGATCTGGTTGGCCTACTCATTTGCACCTTATATCTAGGGATGACGATGGGATGGATCAGACCGATCAGTACCATCCCAATCCCCAATTTGTCTCAGATTTTCGTGACGTGAGGTGGGAAGTAAAAAAATGTCATTACTATCTCGTTTAATTAATTTTTAGAGATGATTTAAATTGAAAAATACAAAATATAAAACAAGTGGGGGATCAATATCTCCTTACCCGTTTACTATTCAAGGCAGGGATTCTTTACCTCATTCGGATAGGGACAATGTGAGATGGGTCGAAGCGGGGAATTTAGTGATCCTTGTCTATATTTACCAAACAACAGGTACTATGAGAAAGTTGACTAATTGTTTCCTTGTTTGTAATCTTATGATCAGAAATTCGCTTTAGCCTCTTCAATGAAAGAGAGGAGTAATCGTAGAAATGAAGATAAATATTACTTCTTTTATAATAAGTTAAAATTAGTGCAGACCAAACCTATTTGCTAAAGTAAGCTATTCTAATTGTGGTTGAATAAAATAAATTTAGTTTTTAAATCCTATGCATTTTATGGCTAAATCTAGAATATCGATGGTTAAATCTAGAATATCATACGTATCACAAATCACAATTGTTTATTACATACAATCATTATAAAGGAAAATCGATGTATTCAATTGAGGATTTTGAAAACATTTTGAGATTTAAAAAATTTAAGGGTATTTGATGAAAACTTTTTGAGACTCTATAAAAGTATTGGTGCATTTTTAGAAAGTTTTTAAAATCACGATTTATTCAATTAATTTTTTTAGAACTCTCTATAAATCTTGGGATATTCAAATTGTAAATGACTTTTAAAAATATTTTTTATTATATGGTAAGGGAAAGGGATTTGTGAGAATGACCACCGCTTATATGAGAACTTCACACTGTTGCACTAGATTTACACGAATTCTATTTTAAATGAAAATTTTCAATAGTATAGAATTCTATAAATCTATAAAAGTTCTAAAATGAAAGTCTTTAGAAACCTACACTTCCACTAATTATAGAGTTAATACCATAAATAGTCACTAAACTTTGCTAAAAGTTCCCAGGAGGTCATTGAACTTTAAAACTTCCCTAATTAGTCACTGAACTTCGCAAAAAAGTTCATAGGAGGTTACTGAACTTCGAAACTACCCTAAATAGTCACTGAATTTTTTCAAAACTACCCTAATTAGTCACTCAACTTTGCAAAAAATTTCTAAGGAGTCACTAAATCATTGATGTATGGGGTCACAATTTGCAAAGTTCGGTGACCTCCTAAGAAGTTTTAGCAAAATTTAGTGACTATTTAGGGTAGTTTTGAAATTCAGTAACCTCTTAGGAACTTTTTGCAAAATTCAGTGACTAATTGGGAAAGTTTTGAAGTTCGGTGACCTATGGGAACTTTTGGCAAAGTTCGGTGACTATTTAGGGTATTAACTCCTAATTCTTTATAAAACTATAAGAATTCACGAAATCCACAAAAGTTATCACTTAAAAAAAAGTCTATAAAAAGCTTTCAAAAGTCACAATTGAATATACTCCCTAAGAATAGTCAATTGTTATTTTAAAAAGTTAAAAGAAAGACAATATTGAAGGTTGTTTTTTACTCTTGTATCTCTAAAATAGAGATCGTATATTCGAAGAGTCTCTTGGCTCTAAAAGTTAAAAATTGAGTCCCATTGTTTAGATTCTACGGCTTAATTCATATTTGGCCCTTCTATCTAAGAGCCTTGCATTTCTTGTCTATTTAATTTGGGTAATATTACATGTTCATAGTAATTTGCATATTGATGTATAGATAGATAACATGACATTATATTAACTGATGTACTTTATTTTCTCTCTCTCTATTCCAAACTGTTTTTTCTCTTTCTCTGTCAATCTGTAAATAATTATGTACAAGTAGATTTACTCACTGGCGGCTGGTACTGAACATGATTGCCATTTTAAGTTAAAAAAACTTGTTTGGACACTCAACTTATGGGCGTATTGTATTTTGGTCACTCAGCTGTGTTTGGTTGGAAGTTTGGCATATTTTGTTTGGTTAAGATTTTATACTTTTAACAAACACTAATGCAATTTTTTGTCCATAAATTTTGAGTGATTTATAAATCCTACCCACCCATTTATCCACCATTTATACTACATTAATCACTAAAGCCAATTCCATCAATAAAAAGTAAAAAACTAACAGAATATGCACTAGGAGAATCAGGGGCGGAGCCAGCTTGTCGAAGTAGGGGGTCCAGAGTTGAAAGGGTGGCTTCGAGAAATTTTTTTTTAAAACATTATCTGTTAAAATGAGGTTAGTTGGTATTTTGTGATGGAGAAATTAAACAAAGGAACATAAATTAATATACATTATTAACAAAAAAAAAATCAAGAAACGTATAAAAGAAAGTACTAATCTTNTACTCCCTTCATCCCATTTATATAGGCTTATTTTCCTTATTTTCTTGTCTCAATTATATAGTTTTGTTTTTTTATTAAGAATGTTTTGTTTTGTTCGTTTACTAATATACTTTTATTTCTTTACTACTTCTAATAATAATTTACTACTAGTTATTGATAATTAAATGAGGGTAAACTAAGAAAATTTTTGGCAAAAATTGCTTTTCCAATAATATTAAATAAGATTTCTTAATTCGTGTGAATAACAAAACAAACCTATATAAATAGAACAGAGGGAGTATATTGACAGCAGCGATTAACGGGGCAAGTACACGAAAATTTGAGTACTAATCTGCAATGAAAAAATAGATAAGTGAACAAAACAGAGCATGCCCATAAATAGAATCCCAAAACAGGTTTTTAACCCCAAAATACTGTCTTAACTAACTCTCTTTATTTCTGTCTGTCTACTATAGTGTAGGTGTCCAAATAGGTGTGTGACCAAAACAGAGTTTAAGGTTCATTCTACGTTCGAATTCAAGCCATTTAAATGAAACAATTTCTAGTGCATAAGAAATGGAAAAAAAAAAATTAAAAAAAAAAATTGGTGTGTTTGTTACACTCAATTGGACAAGAAAACAGACAAATTTTGATTTCTTTTTCTTCTTCAATCCAACGTAACAAACGCGGCAAAATCATCAATCAGAAACACAACTAAGCTAGAACATACATCATCAATTTGAAACACAACTAAATCGTTGCAAAGAGATAAAGGACATAAAATAAATGGTTTTCAGAAATCAAAAAAATGGTCCAGAATCTCGATTCTACATTTTTTGATGACAGAATAGCGCGAAAGTATTTTACAACAGGAATAAGATCAGGAAGACCTCTTGGCTCTCGCAAAGTACAGCAGCAAGTACAATCAGTATATGCATTCTGTCTCTTAAGCAAACACTTGAACCTCTTTGAAACTTTTATTTCAGTACAAAGTTAACCAAATAACAATGATGTATAATGTTCAAATACCTCCACAAGATCAAATAAGAGACGGTGTTTCATTCATTTGCAGCCGCATCCTCTGGTGGGGCAGCATTTCCATCTATAAAGAGAGAGAAGGATAGGAAACCTTCAAAAGATATTATGATAATAAGCCAAAACATTTCATTAGAGCTGGGCATTTGGGAGAAAATATAAGGGGTTTAGGTCTCAATGCGATTTCCCTTAAGAGTGAATAATTTCTTAAACATAACGTTCTCGAGCCAAAGTCAAACTGCAGAGACAAGACAAGAAAAAATCTAGTGGCCTGTTTGGCTAATCTTAATAAGTTTACTCACAGTTAAATAAGTTTTACAATACATAATATCTATATTAATAAAAGTTGAAAATAAGTTACGTATTTTGACATTGATATCAGAGTCATTGAAAAGTAACTTCTAGTTATTTTAGCTTATCCAAACAAGAAAATAATTAAGCATCTGATATGCTAAGTCTGAGAAATTCGATCAAGAATCACATATACCTTCATCTTTTGCAGGAGCACAAAGAGATTTGCGGTATCGAGTTTGCTGTTGTGTCGGCTAGAATATCAAATGCAAAAATGACAAATTGTAACATTAGGATAGAGGCATAGAAAATATATGCATAGATCATCAACTTGTGTTAACATCAATACCAAAATAAATGCTAAAGAGTGGAGCTACCAATAACAACAACATCGGGAATAAGAAATTTACACTTCGAATCATTAGCATTTATCTAAGAAGCATCTAAGCTAGACACTAGAGTAGCATGTTCTGTTTTTATTCTTTTCTCGGGCTGGGAAAGAGGATTCCAACTCATAACACATGGTACTTTCGACAAATAAAATGATAACACAAGTCAGACTTGAATCGGAAGAACTTGCATTCACAAATGTGAGCAGCCGAGGAGCCTAAAATTAGATCTAACAGTAACCACCCATGCACAAACTTGAAAACTAATAATGCTAGATTGAGATTGGACTTCGTAACCTCTCAATCACATAGAGAAGGAAAGAACACCAATGGTGTAAGCACTTTCTTGGGCTAACATTGACATTGAGAGACAAAAAAAAAATGTATGCTTGCAAATTTGTTCACATGTCAAATCAGACCTGTTACTCCTGCATTTTTAGCTATAATATTTCACATTCTATATCAAATTTGAGAAGATCAACTCCCTACTTGTTATTCTATGCAAGGCCATCGTGTTTAAATTCACCAATTCGTGTTCTGGCGTGATCAAATTTTCATAGGGGTGTTGCTTCCAACAGAAATTGAAGAATTTATTGGGAAATCCTACATCAAGGCATCGCCGCTGGCAAAAAATGGTTTGCAGAATGGACGATTTGTTATCTAATGGATGTCAATGAGATCAATAGAGATTATGGAGATTGACTAAGATTACGAAGATGGACAAAGATTATGACTTAGCATATGTATGTATACAATGAGATCTCTATTTTACTCTTCCCTCTCCTCGTCGCTAAAAAAAAAATAAGGAATACAAAATTTTTTTTATTTATTTTTTTCAAAATGCTTCCAGTAAGATAAATTTTTTTCTCTTTTCATTATGAAAGAGTTATTTTTGAGCTAGAGTTGTTCTTTTGTTCACCGGTCAACAAATTGATACTTCTTGATTATCCAACATCAATTTGAGAGGAAGTGTCAATGAGATCGACAAACATCATTGAAATCGACGAAAATCACAAAAATTGACGAAGATTATGACTTAACATAATAATGTACATAATTGTATTTAGCATATTTAGGTTGACGGTGTTTTTACCATATTTAAGTTGATTATATCTATTATATTTAGATTAATACCATAGTTGTATAAGGTAATATTCTTCCTATATAATGCAAGGAATCACTCAAGGGAACATCATTCAATCAAAAGTTGTCAGTGGAGGATTTGAAAATGGGGAAATAATGGTTTAAATTCAGTGCAATATCATATAGATTAGTCACTTGATGAATATGATATTAAATTCATTATAATTATTTAATTTCTTCAAAAAATAAAATTGAAGTATTAATTTCTTCAAATTTGAACATAATGAGAAACATAGAAAACTTTAGACCTTTGCATATCAGAATTTTTCATTTCCTGCATCTAGAAAAAAAAGGGCTTTCTCACTCTCAGTTGAAAAAATGTCCTTACTATTTTGAGATTTATCAAATGGAAGTGCACTGCTAAAAAGAAAAAAGAAATTAATTCTTCCCAACTACCATTAATCATCATCTCATTCACTGTCAAGTGCCTATCAGCTTCTTGCCTGAAGTACGGTGCAAATAGACCATTTATGAAAGCTAGATTTTGGAAGCTCGTGCAAACATTTCACACTTTCAACCCCTTCCCGAAAACTTGTCCATGGTGAATGCGGAGGGCCGGTCCTGTGGCGAGGTAAATGAGGCTGGCGCCTCGGGCCGAAAACAGGAGGGGGCGTATTTTTGGCCCATTTTTTTTTATATAATTAAAGGAGGAAAAAGGGAAATCCATTTTCATTACCTCCTGCTCGACCTCACCTCCTCCAACTCCACCGACGACTCCTCCAACTCCAATCGGACCGGCGACCGACGATGTCCTCCAACTCCAACCAGTGGAAAGATTAAAAAGAAGGTGAGATTTCTTGAGAATCTGTTTTTGTACCTTTATGGACTGTCGGCATGCTTTAGATTTTTTGGTACTACCATACTGGTTATGGTGTTTCTATATTGCTAGTTTTGGGAGTTCATGAAGTGTTCGATTTTGAGTGCACACATGTTGGCATATTTTTTTTCCTACAATTAGTATTTGCTCACTATCGTTTCCTTTTCCTATAAGCGGTATGATTTGGACAATTTTTGAGTTATTTTCTAATCAAATCATATTGTGGACTGTGGGCAGAAAATTTATCTCTGTTGTGAGGGGACGGGGTGGTGTTTTTAATTGGATTTTACTTGGGGCATGTTTGGTTGAGCTTAAAGAGCAAAAAATGAAGTTACTTCTAAGGGACCTTTTGTTCTCAAATATGATAGCTAGTTTACTGTTTTCCTTTACCTTAAAAGAAAATGGGTTTTGTTTCTTTTCAAGTACTTGTTCGGAGAGTTATAATGAGATTACAACATGGAGCAGCATGAATATTTTCAGTATTAATGTGTATTGCACTATAAAGATTATCATATAAGTTAAAACACAACCAAACATAAGTTGTTGTCGAGAATTTTGAACAGGGGGCCATTAATCATTGATGTTGTCTGCATTTTTCGTGTTAGATTTCTCTTATGAAGGGTTTGGTTTTCAAGCCACTAAACGTATTATGAGTTCATAATTTTCCTTAAGGGTGGAATTCTCAAGGTGTGATACTATGATTTCATAATTTTCCTTGAAATTCTACTTCTCATATGAGCGATGGCTTGTCCTAAATTGTTATTGGATATAATGGAAATGTTTGAAGCCTTTTCGGCTTATATAATTGTGGCCTGGTCGGCTTATATGATTGGTTATTGTAAGATCAATTGTTATGCACTTTTTGGGAGTTTATTATTGACGAAATTAAGTAGATTTCTATACATAATTGTGTAATTACTGTTTTGTAGGCCAAAACCCCGACAAGAAGGAGAACAAAGCGAAAGGAGAAGAAAAGGGACTTTAATCGTACAAAATTGTGAAGTTGGGGACCAAGGTGCACAAGCCAGAAAGTTGGAGGACTTGGAGTGCAATTTCCTCTAGGATATTTAGTTTTCTTAGTGGCTAAGTAATGAATTTTTTCATTAATTTTGGCCTATTAATTGGGAAATATCTTGGGGACTCTTTTGTAACTTTCCAAAAGTTTGGGGACCTTAGCTTCAATTTTCCCAGACGAAGATGGAGTAACTAAACATGTAGAACCTCACAAGATAGTATGATCACTCCACTCTCAAGTGTTTAAGATTGGTTAATTGTTTCACTCAAAATCATTCCAATGAAGATGTTCTACCATAAGCTTGCATATTTTCTCATTCGTCATCACTTAGATCACATGCATAACACAAATCATAAGGTCTTTTCAGGGTTAAAACGTGGCATCAGGTCAAGGTGTGGAAAATATTTAGGTAAGTGACTAAGAAGCCTCAAATATAAATCAGTGGGGTAAAGATATTGAACTCAACTCAACATAGATAGGATCTGTACACAATCCAATCTCTCCAACAATAACTTCTTACTTTTCACCTATTCAGCACAATTGACCTTTTTTCTTCAAAAATCAGGAGAAATCATAAATATAGACGTACAAATCAGTCTCCTCCACACATTTTTCCCTATCAAATTTTTTTTTAACTAATTTCCACTACACCAATCATAGCATCTCAATAGATATTGATACCCCGACTCTTCTTTTCTATCACACCCAACATTCAAAGTCACCAACAATACTTCACTAGCTTTAAGGGCTGGGTAAAGATATTGTTTTCTGTATATGAAAGCTTGTAATGTGGGTTTATCAAAGAAAAGGCAAATAGGCACAACAGAAGCTTTAATGGCTGGGTAAAGATATTGTTTTCTGTATATGAAAGCTTGTATTGTGGGTTTATCAAAGATAAGGCAAATAGGCACAACAGAGTTTATCAAATGAAAGATTAATTTCATGGTAAGCTATTTGGCTAATGTGATAACAAAAATGGCCTCAATCATATTCATGCATACATGTGTCAATGTGATCTTCAGGAGAATCAATACAAGTTCTAGAGAAGCAAAATCATGGAAGAGTGTCACATATGAAAGAAGTAATGAGACTGCAATATATGTGTCAGTCAATAGGCTCAAAATCTCACCAACTTTTGTCTACACCATTCAGTTACTACCATCTTCAATGAAAACAACTAACTAGCTGATCCAAAATTTCTTGCTAAATGGTAAAGTGAACGAGAAGTAGACATAGGTTGATATAATTTTACAAGTAACTCACAACCTAAGTTCTTACCAATTCAAAAATTTTCCAACAAAATACACTTCCACATCTAGATGACAATCAATCATGACTATTGTGCTCAAAGTAACTTAGAATCTTACAATGAATAAGCAATTTTTCAAAAAAATTTAGGCACCAATAGCATATCTGGTCATGCATAGCTTATGAATCAATAACAATTTCAAACATCATGCAATTCAAAGCCGGCAAGGTTCACCTAACATGTCGATACAAAATCACTAAAATATGTACACAAACAAAAGCCGTCAAGGCTATAACATCAATTCAAAACATCAATAGCCGGCAAGGCTCACCCCCAAACTTAATTCACACATTGTCCTCAATGTGTAAAGAACCAACTAAAGCAAAAAGGAAAAATGAAACTTCCCTGAATGAATTTGTGAAGAGGTACCAATGCGTATATTGGACTTGTTATGTACTTGAGTAGCTTGGCAAAAGACCTCTTTGTACACCAATTTTTCCAGAACCTGTGAGATCCATAGGTGACTGGGACATCAAAAATTTCCTACAAAAACCATTATATTAGTTCAAAAATACAATAACAAAAGTAGTAAGCACACATAATAACACAAAGTTAAAAGAGTAAGAAAATTGGGTTGCCTCCCAACAAGCGTTTGGTCATAGTCTTTAGCTTGACTATATGGCATCTTTACTCCGGATTGGCAAGAAGAACGGAGGACTTTTCTTTCCCAAAGTCACCTTCCAAGTATGGTTTCAATCTCTGGCCATTAACTTTGAAGTTCCCATTTTCTTCATTAAAAAGTTCAATCGCTCCATATGGAAAAAATTTTGCAATGGTAAAAGGACCACATCATCTAGAGCGGAGCTTACCGGGGAACAACCGGATTCGAGAATTGTAGAGAAGAACTTGTTATCCAACAAAGAACTCCCGCTTCACAATGTTTTGATCGTGCCATCTCTATCTTTTCTTTATAGATCTGAGCACTTTCATATGAATCAAGGCGGAGTTCATCGAGTTCATTCAATTGGAGCAACCTCTTCTCTCCGGCCAATTTTTCATCAAAATTTAATGCTTTGATAGCCCAATAGGCCCGATGTTCAAGTTCGACGAGAAGGTGACATGCTTTCCCAAATAAAAGCCGATATGGAGACATACCAATTAGTGTTTTGAAAGCAGTACGGTATGCCCATAACGCATTGTCCAATTTCTTGGACCGATCTTTTCTCGATGCATTGATCGTCAACTCAAGAATTCTCTTTAACTCACGATTTAAAATTTCAACTTGGCCACTCGTTTGGGAATGATAGGGGGTGGCCACACGATGCTTTACTCCATATTTGGTCAATAGTAAGTCGAAGAGGCGATTGCAAAAATGTTTACCTCCATCACTAATGATGGCTCAGGGGGTGCCATAATGAGAGAAAATATTTTTCTTTAAAAAGTTCACTACCACCCGAGCATCATTAGAAGTAAGCTACCACTTCTACCCACTTTGACACATAGTCAACAGCCACCAGTATGTATTGATTTGAAAATGACGATGGAAATGACCCCATAAAATCAATACCCCACACATCAAAAATCTCCACCTCCAATAAAGAAGACAACGGCATTTCATTTCTGTTGGAGATATTACCAGTACGTTGACATCTATCGCACTTGGAGATAAGTGTGTGAGCATCCTTAAATAATGTTGGCCAACAAAAACCGGATTGAAGTGTCTTTGATGCAGTTTTCACAGCACCAAATTGACCACCATATGGAGAGAAATGACATTGTTCAAGAATTTTCTCCATTTCATTTTTCGATACGCATCTCCGAATAATCTAATCCAGACCCCTTTTAACAACAAAGGATCTTCCCAAAAATAATGCTTAACATCAGCGAAGAAAATGATGCCACTTGCAAGAAAATCCACATGGTCTGCATACCATTGCATGAGTGACTTGTAAGAGATGGATGATTTGCAAAAGTTGTTCATCAGGAAATACCTCATTAATTTCCCCTTCCATCTCTTCATCGTTTCGCTCAAGATGAGATAAATCATCGGCTACGACATTTTTGGTTCCCTTTTTATCTCGAATTTCTAAGTCGAATTCTTGCAAGAGGAGTACCCATCTAATCAATCTCGGCTTGACATCTTTCTTTGCCAACAAATACTTAATGGCTGAGTGATCAGTATAGACTATCACTTTGGAGCCAATGAGGTAGGACCGAAATTTATCAAATGCAAATACCACTGCGAGCATCTCCTTTTCAGTAGTAGCATAGTTCAATTGCGCATCGGTCAATGTTCGGCTAGCGTAATAGATAACATGCAGGATTTTATCTCTTCTTTACCCCAAGAACTGCTCGAACGGCAAAATCACTAGCATCGCACATTAGCTCAAATGAAATATTCCAATCTGGAGCTGCAATGATAGGAGTCGTGATGAGTTTCTCTTTCAGAGCATTGAAAACATTGAGACACTCTCGAGAGAAATTGAAAGTAGTATTCTTCTCAAGCAAGGAGCAAAGAGGTTTTGTGATTTTTGAGAAATCTTTGACAAACCTCCTATATAATCCAGCATGTCCTAAAAAACTCATAATCTCCCTCACTGTGGTTGGTGGAGACAATTTTTCAATAACATGAATTTTTGTCTTGTCAACTTCTATTCCTTTAAGGGATATCAGATGGTCAAGAACAATGCCTTCCTGGACCATGAAATGGCATTTCTACCAATT